GGGCAGACATTCTGCTTCTGGTAATTGTTTCCATCATCCTCATTAGAGCAGAACTGGTGAAGTTTTTGGTTCAGTGCCTTGCATTGAGGCTGCTCGCTCCATCGGTGCTGCACCTCAAACCCTTGGGTCAGTTTTGGGCCCCTCAGGACAAGAAGGACATTGAGAGGCTGGAGTTTGTCCAGGGAAGGGAACAGAGCTGGGGAAGGGTCTGGAACACAAATCTGATGAGGAGCAGCTGAGGGAGCTGGGGGGGCTCAGCCTGGAGAAAAGGAAGCTCAGAAGGGACCTTCTGGCTCTGCACAACTCCTGACATGAGGGTGGAGCCAGATGGGGGTCAGGCTCTGCTCCCAGGGGACAAGGGACAGGACAAGGGGAAATTGCCTCGAGTTGTGCCAGGTGAGATTTAGATTGGGTTTTAGGGAAAAATTTCATCAGAAGGGTTGTCAAGCACAGGCACAGGCTGCCAGGGAAGGGATGGAGTCACCAACACCGGGGGTGTTTAAAAGATGAGTGAATGCGGCACCTGGGGACACAGGTTAGTGGTAGCCTTGGCAGTGCTGGGTTAACAGCTGGACTTGGTGATCTTAGAGATCTTTTCCAATGCAAATGATTCTATGATCCAATGAATTGAGAATCAGGTTGGAGAGCATTGCTTCCACAGAACTCGTAAACTGGAGCACAGGGATTACATCACTTAAAACCACACACTCTTCAAACACTGAGAACATGATACAGCAGCACCAGTTCACCAGACAAACATTTTCCAGGAAATTGTGCAAAAAACTTTTGAAGTCAAACAGTACTGAAATTGAAAAAAAAAAATCAAAAAGGGTCAGGAGCAGCTCCATTAATCTTTTTTGCGTCAGCTAACGCAGACTGTGCAACTGTGTCTTGTGTTGTTTCTCTTTCTTCTCTCAGAAAATCCCCCAGAGCAGCAGAAGCAGCAGAGGAAATGAGTTGTGAGCTCCGTGGCACACAAACATCTGAAGGGTTTTACTCTGAGCACGCGAGGAGCTGCCTGGCCCCAGCTGGGGATGGATGCTCAGCACATGCTGCAGGGATGCAGCCACTGGGAATGGGCACAGCCTGCCCAGATGGGCTGGGAGGGTGCCCACACCATGGTGTGTGAGTTACCTGCCTGCAGCAAACTCAGTTTGGCTTTTTGGCAGTGCCTCAAAGCCTGGGAGAGGGTCCAGCCTGCAGAGAACAGGGGAGAACCTCATCTCTCTGCACAGCCACTGAGGGAGGGTGCAGCCAGGTGGGGCCATGGGGAATGGCACTTGTCACTGACAGATTTTATGGAAAATCCTTTCTTTAGGATTTTTTCTCCTGAGAAGCTGAGGGGGCTCAGGAACAAAATGTAAACAATGGTTATCTGTTGCTGTGGAATGCAACAGGTGCATCTGTGATTGGTCTCATGTGGTTGTTATTAATTAATGGCCAATCACAGTCAGCTGGCTCAGACTCTCTGGTCAGTCACATGATTTTATTATCATTCCATTCTCTTCCTTGCTAGCCTTCTGATGAAATCCTTTCTTCTATTCTTTTAGTATAGTTTTAATATATAATTTTCTTTTAATATAATATATATAATAAAATAATAAATCAACCTTCTGAAACATAGAGTCAAGATTCTCATCTCTTCCCTCGTCCTGGGACCCCTGCAAACACCACCACAGATACTATTCCTACAACTATTTCTATTCCTAGAAAATGCAGAGAAGATGCAAGAGGGAACACAGTTCCCAACACTGAGGGGATTTTCAGACTTTTACAGAATAGTCTGGCAGCTTCAGGCCAAAAAGAGATGGACAAGGGAGAAAAATCAAAGGGATCAGGAGCACAGCAGAGGTGGCAAGAGGAATGTGCTCCACTGCATGCAGGGCAAGAGGCAGCCACAGGACAAGACCCAGCTGATCCCTGAGTAAAGGGAATATAGAAATCAGGCTAAAGGCTACAGTTTATCTAGAAACCAGGTGATAAGGAGAGTACACCCCTTATCAAATGCTAATATGAAAGCTCAGTATTGGCTATTTGACAATAAAAGCTGGGCTGTGGCCTGGGGCAGGTTTATTCTGGCACTGAACTCATGCCCAGGCTGAGGTTTTTTGGTGCAGCCAAACTGAGACCCTCAGCCTAATCTGAAACAGGTCCCATAGGGCTGGCACCTATCAATATTTCCTTACAGATCAATAGTTTCCATACTGAGCTTTAAGAGTGTAGAAGCATTAAGTTAATACATTTCTGCAATTAAATATTTGCATTATTTTAATTCTTGCTGCACATTTCATTGATATTACTATCACTAATAGCCTTCTAAATCAGCCTTCTGCTTTGCTTTTATTTTCTCCCTGAAACTGATTCTTGACATCTGACCAGTCTCCAGTTCTTTACTGGGAGTTAACAACAACCAGCTGGAGGAGTGACTTCACTTACTTTCCCATTCCAGTTCTATGTAGTCTGCTAAAACTGTAGTTGAGCATTAAAATCACCCAAATAAAAAAAACAACTTTGTAACAACTGCAAATACAAAGATCCAAAACCCACTCTGAAGTGCACACTTCCAGATACTTACAACATGAGCTAAAACATTCTCAGGATTAAGACTGATTTAATCTGACGGTGCCACTTCATATTCTTCAGGTAAAGACTCCTCCTGTAGCCCTGACAGGGATGATCACCAGAATAAATTACTCTTCTAAAATAGTACTTCAAAAGGCTTCTGGCATTTTGGAAAAGGTAATTTGGATAAGAGGGAAATGCAGGAAAAAAAACAACCCCACAGCTCAAAAGACTTGGAGGATAGGCTTGTTCAAATAATTCTATTCCTCTTGGCCCAGAAACTCCACAGGCTGTTTTCAAAACAGACTAGAAAATGTTTTGTTTTCTTAAAAGCCTTTTTAAAAAATGTTTTACTGCATGCTTGTAATGTACCCTGAATTGTTTTGCTCCCTTCTTATAGTATGGGACAGAAGTCAAATTTCAGAGGAAGGTGAGCGTTCTCACTGAGTTCCACTTGGTGCTCATGAGCCAGAACAAACTGTGGCCTCTGTTCAGAGTAACAGGGAAGAGCCACGGTGCAGCTCCAGCAAGGTGAAACCTATAAAGAGATCAGCAGGACGCTGGACAGTGTCACAAACACTTCTATTGCTGAGGAGCAAAGACAAGAAAACACAGAGTTAACTGTATTTCCTTCATATCTGCTCTACTGTTCAAATAAACTCCCTGCTTCAAATGTCTGTTCAGCAAACCCTTCATTCCAGACAAGTCTAAGTTGTAGGTCACAAAGTTTTCAGTCCTGTTTAATAGGATTAAAAACCTATAGTAAGCATTTTCTTAAAGTAGAGCACGTACCCCAGAAAAAGCTGCTAATTGGGAAAAGAGAATAAATCTCTTGCACAGCTGGAGCTAAGTAGGACCTTTGAAAGGCTGCAGATAATTTTAAACTCTCCCACTTCCAGTAAAAACACAGGAAAGTTTGCACTAAAATTGGTATGTACAAATTAACTTCATCAGTATAGGAATTCTCAGATATTATATATTATATATTATATATTATATATTATATATTATATATTATATATTATATATTATATATTATTATAGATATTATATTCAACCCTGCAAGCTCACAAATGAGAGCCAAGCACCACGTTCACCCAAAAACATGTCCCAGAGCCTCCCCTGGGTATCTGTGCTTGCAGGGATAATTGTCTTAGTTATTTTTTATCACAGAATCATGAAGGTTGGAAAATACTCTGATCAAGTCAAACCTTCAGTAAATCTAAGATCTTCTTTCTATTTTTTGCCAAATTCACCTCTGTTCCTTCAGAAGTCGTTAGAAAAAGCTATATTCTTAAAAATTGCTGAAGACTAAAACTGAAATGAGTGAAATGACTTAACCAGGCTTCAGGGTTCTGCCTCTTTTAAATTAGCTCACATAAATGCAGCCTCATGAAATTCAGCCACAATGAACATCTGCAGTTGGCCTAATATTTCTATCTAAACAGCTTGGATGGAATTCAAATTTATTATTACATGTCAGGATTAAAAAAACCCATTAAAACAAAGCAACAATGCTATTCAGAGGTATATTATTCTTTGGCTCTGAGGAAAAATACATTAAAATGCATACTTTCAGTTAGATAGGATAAACCAGTCTTTTTATACACTCTGAGCTGGAAGACACAGGGATATATTTTGTCTCCCATGTCTGCTCTATTAATGTGAACCAAGGCTAATAGTCAATCTTATCATAGCAATTCCATTTTTTTAATCCACAGAAAATACCCTTTTCTTTTGCTAGACAATTCAGTGGTTCTGAGTTTTAATCCTTAAAGGGATGGGGCTGAATCTTTAAGTTCCTTTAATAGACAAGTTTGCTCCAGGTCTCAGGTGACAGCAGAATCCCCTCCTGCCCCCTCCCCAGATTTAATTCATTTAATCCATGTCAGAATCCTTCCAGCTCAGTCTATAAAGAATTCCACAGATGACAAATGTGAGCTGGTTACATCCAGGCTCATTTTTCCTTCAAATCATAAAGGCTAAAACCATATTTATTTTAGCCTTTAGCATCCCTTAATTCTTAGAAATTATATTACAAAGGTCTAGCTTTTATTTTACAGTACTGGATCAGAATCAGGGCCAAAGATACAAATGTATTTTGCTCCTGTGTGATGAAATATTCCAGAAGTTGGGCATCCTAATCCATCTCTAGTTCTCTTGGAAGCCCCAGACCAGGCAGCCTCTGGGGAATGCTGGGGCTGGAGCCAAGCACATGCAGCTTTATCTTGGAATTTCAACATGAAAGGGGAAAAACAGCAAAAAGGAGGGAGTTTAATAATTGTAACTAAAAAGTGATCACGATAAGCCCTCAGTATTTCATTTTAATCTAACTCCCTTGAGCCAGAAAACTGAAGGAGGCCTGGAAAGTTTGTAAATCAGGGACAATAAAAGAGATGTAAGGATGGTTTGTGTAGCACTCAAATACACACACACGATGTAATTGCCTGTTTTATTTAGTGGAATCACTTTTGTAGATTAGAAATATTTCCAATTCCCGTTTACTCCAATGCAAGCCTCCACCATCGACAGGCATAACGCAGTTTGTTCAACTGATTCCAAACCAAAAAAAAAGGAAAAAAAAAGAAAAAAAAAAAGAAAAAAAAAGTACAATCTCAAAAGTTAAGTTAGAAACTAAGTTCACACATTTTCTTTGGGACCAGGAATCTGTACATAGTACAAAATATACATTTATTGAACTTTCTGTAAACACACAGTTTGAATTGTGTAAAACTGTAAATAGTGGGTGAACTACGTGGAGAATAATTTATTATATATTGTTATACATTCTACTTAAGGAAAATAGTTATGCTCTTGTATATTACTCTGTTAAATTTATAAATTCCATAAAGAAGCTGTGTAATCTGCAAACATGCTTTTCAAGCTTAAATCTCTCCATTCGTAACACACATTTATACAGGTCATCAATGAAAAAAGTTACACTTTCCACAAAATAGATATAAAGAGGTCATGAATTTTCTAAAAAGACAGGCACAGCATGTCACTACAAACAAGACTCTTATGGTGTGGAGTCAATTCTGTGAGAAGACAGGTGAAAACTCTCTAATTCAGCATGTTGGTACGTGGTCTTAGGAACAAGACAGATGCTAGAACCCAAAATCTCTGCTTATAAAGATTTATCAAACAGCTGGTCCTGGAAGTCAAAGCTCACACTTTTCAGATAAGCAGCACTCCCTGGCTGAGAGAACCTCAGCTTTTGTCTCCTACCAACTCTTGGTCACGAGTAATTGAGTTTTCCAAGCAGTGAAATACCCAGCACCATTTGCCAAGAACATTTGCATAATTCAGCAGTTACTCCAAAAAGTGGATTCCTGGCACCAAAGTGTTAGATGTGGTTAATAAATACAATTTAACTCTTGGTGCCCAAGGTCATCAGCAAAACCAGGCTGAGAAACCCCAACTCCCATGGGCTGCAGGGCATTAACCCATGGAATGTGGGGTGACAGCATCCCAGCACTGGAGACTCTGGTCAGCAATGCCCAGTTTCCAATTTAAGGGGCTGGAAATTCCAAATTGCAGCAGACTTCTCAGTCTGGCATCACTCAGAAAAAATAAAAAGTTCCCCTATAAACACTGTCAAAGATCCTTTCATAGAATGGTCTATAGAATGGTCTGCGTTAGAAGAGCCTCAAAGATCATCTAGTTCCAACCTTTCAGGAGTCCATCACTGGACATGGATATAATTCTACATAAATTCAGCACATTTATTCCTACATTTTCAAGCTCTCACTATCTTTCCATCCTGGATACATTATTTTGGATTTCATTGATCTGCAGCTAAAAGCACTGCATCAAAGATCAAACCTCTTAAACTGTGCTCTTCTGAGGTTTTAAAAGCAAAACAATTCTTAGACATTTAAAGAATTAAGAAATTATCTCAGATTAACCAAACATTTTGCTTTAACATTACCACTGTCTTGCCTTCGGCTTTGAAAATCTATTTCAAAACCTAAACTGAATAAAGATTACATTTATTTTTCATTCCAAGAGAAGTGGGATAGTTAAGGCTCCAACATGTGCAGAATTTGTATGTTGTGAGCAAAAGCTCCACCAATGTCACCAGGATATACAGTAAAGTTTGTGCCTGATTTTCCCAAGCCTATCTGACTCTAATTTTCCCCTGCAGTGTGAACAGAAATATTGTGATCCAGCCTGAAACTCCAACAGTGAACATGAAATTGGGTACCCAGTATTTGCACTGCTCAGACTGGCTGGAATTCAGTAATAGCTGAATTGAAACTCTGGACCTTGCTCTACAGACATCAATAGAATAAAAGTATTGATTGTTTGAGGACCTGCAGCTTGTTTTCTCATTATTCCTAAAGGTATTTCTCAAAATAAATAACAATGGCAGCTCCTTCAACTCCAGAGGCCTCCTCACAACACACATGGGGAGTCCTGACCACCTGGAAAAGCCCCACACTCCCACCAAGCTCTTCTGAGCCAACACTTCAAGGAAAAAAAAAGGAATTTCAGCTTTGCCTCAACGTTATTGAGCAAGCTGAGAAGTGCTGATGTTGTGCTCCTGAAGGAAAATGGTGCCTGACACAGCACCCATCCCTCAGATACATGGCTGGTCACACAGCAGTGAGGATCATTGGTTTTATTCTTCTTATTTTGGATAAGAAAGAAAAATTAAGAAAGCAGGCGCCTAGTGATACTTCAAAATGTACTTGGGCAGGAATCAAATCAATATCTAAAAATCCGGCTATGCATAAATCACTCTAAACCCTGACATGTCACCCCACTTCTACCCAAGTTTTGACACTTTCAGATTTTCTTGGTTCTATAAAAGGCATTTTTTAAGTTAAGCCCACTTTCCCAACCTCTGTGGTGCAGAAGTTGGGGGGTTTTGTGGTCATTGCATTTAAAGCAAGCCTCTCCCAAAACACTTTCCTAAAACATTAATATCACTCCTGTTCCCTTAGCCTGGAAGCAAAGACTTTAGAAGAATGTGTACAAGAGATGGGGAAAAGAAAGATCTGCATTACTGCTACTCAAAAGGAACACCAAACAAAAACACAGAGAAAATGAGGAATATGCACAAAGCCTAAGTAACTACAAGTCAACAACTCTGACACAATCAGGAGATTAAAGCTCCAGACATTTTTTTTCACATATTAAGCAAATGGTAGAAACACTTGTCATTTTTCTAGAAACAAATTGTCAAGGGGAGACAATGTAAACTCAACTTTTAACATGTCTATTTTTTTTCTACTTGAATGTATTTAGTGGTCCATGATGCTAAAGAGAAGCTTCAAGTTTTCCTACAGCTTCCTGACCTCCTGAGAACACGTGCCACAGCCCAGGTGGCTGCTACCTCATTTATAAAGCAACGTTATTAAGCAAAATAAGGCCACAGAGTGCTTCAGATGTGCACACCTGGGTCTGCAGAAAGCTGCAGACTGTGCAAGCACTCCAGAGAAAAAGCTCACAAAAGATTGGAGTCTCTGATCAGTATTTCAGACAGGTCAGTCAAAATTATTTAGCCACAGAGTGATACTTTTAAATTCTGCTCCTTGCTTACAGCTTATAGCAGGAATCACATTCTTTTATTTTTTTTTGTGCTACAGCATCCTGGAAATTCATGTCTGGAGCCTCTTTTCACCACTTAGAGAGTGAAAAACCTCCCCAGCCAGATGGAGAGTTTACACCCCGAACTGGCCCATAAAGGCTCAGCTATGATCACTTCAGACACAGGTAGCTGTAGTAACAAGGAGCCACACTCTATCTAGGAGACATCATTTTCAGAGCTGGTAAAGCTTGGCACCAAGTGACAATTCATTTTCTACACATGAATGTCAGGTACAGCCCTGTAGCTCTACAGCTTTGCTGTCCCTGAACCTGTGCAAGGTACACCAGGTTTGTATCAAATACTGTATTTGCCAAAGGATGAGGAAAAGGGCACTGGCTTTCCTCAAGGTTAGCCCCTTTCACACATGGCCAAGTTTACATACCAAGCAACTGAAACACACCAAGTTTTCTGTGCACAAAAGCAGTTCCAGAAGGTGCAGGCAGAGATGGAGGTGAACATCTTGCCATGATGAAATCCTGATGTACATTGAACTAAGGAAAGCTGTAACAACCATATCATTAACCTAATTGTGGCAGCCATGCTGTCTCCCACAGCACAGAGCTCCAAACTTCCAGAGAATGTGAACACAGAGGAAGGTTGTCAGCACAGAACTCACACACAAGACATTTAGACCAAAGTTTGATGGTTCCAGTTTAAAGAAAAGAAATGTTTGTAAAAAAAAAAAATTGTCTTAAGTGGGGAAAGATCTGCAAAGGCCAGATGCTCCCTACACAGGCCATCATTTATCTGGGTGTGGTTTCCCAAACTGTGGCAGGACGGGTGGGGCAAGCATTCCTCTGCTCTCAGTCCTGTTCCCCACTCTCCATTTTTCCCTAGCACCAGCACCTCACAGCTGGATTATCAATTTACCCAGCTCAAGAGGACAGGTTTTTTCTTTCTCACCCACTTAAGGACAAGCACTGGCACAAAAAAAGGCAGTAGGGGCAAACTAGGAGCAATGGTTTAGTCTTGGCCTAAGACCATGAAACCACATCCTTAGACCATAAAGTACTAAAAATGGAATGCAGTAGGAAGTGTCTCCTATCCCAGTGTATAAAATTAAGGCGGGATTCTTATCAGGGAATCAACTGAAGAAAAAACTGATCCCTATTTTGTTAAATCATCTTAAGCTTCCAACTCTTGAACTGAGCAAAATGGCTCAGACATAAACCTATATAGTGACAGCACCAGCTTTGCAATAAATAATGTAATGGACATTGAAGTCAGTTTGCTACAAGTCAATGTTGAGAAGATCAGCTTAGGCACCTGCAGGAACTCTCAAGGTAAGTGCTCCCATGACTCATCTGCTGCTCAGCATTCACCAGGCACCTCTGACACAACCCACGCCTGCCACAGCTCACAGCAGCTCAACCACAGCTGATGAAATTCCTCTCTCTGGTTTAACTGAGTGATGGCTGTGCCTCAAGGTGCTGGTGCTGCTGCTCCTGGGCCAGCTGAAAGGCTCAGGCTCTGTTCCTGCCCCAGCAGAGTACTGGGGTCCCTAAGGATACAAAGGATTTACAAAGCCTTGCAAATCTAGGATCCTACTTAATGTCACTGCATTTAATTCATCCAACATTGGTATAAAGCACGTTTTAGAAGCTTCTGTCTTGAACATATTTTCAATGCTGAATTAGTGAGAATTATTTGGAACAGTTGTCTATAAAGCAGTTACAGGTATTCTCCCAGAACGATCAGCCAAACATTTAATCTGACTATAACAAAACTCACAGAAACTGTAGCCAGTGAAGCTGTCAAATGTAGAAGGAAAACAAAGTTGCATGGCATACGAAGCAAAGTAGCTTTACAAATGTCATTTCCTTTTAAAAACAAGCAAATCGGGACCATCCTATTTGAACATGTATTTAAAAATACATCTGTTAACATCACACAATTTTCATTTTTGTCACACATGAATCTTTTTCCAAGAGGGAAATAAATAGCACACAATATTTCAAAATAAAAATTGCTGCCTTGCCCCTGAGGTGCTAATGTTTTTAGCATTTAAAAAAAAAAGTTTCTGGTGCAAGAAGGAGATGCACAAAGGTGCAAAAGTGCCTTTTTTCTTTTCAGAGCAGTGAAAAAAGTACAGCTTGCCTCTTTTCTAGGATGCTTTATATACTTAACTGGTTTATTCTGTAGTCAAAGTCTGTATCTAAAATGGCAGTGTTTATGCATACATCACAGTTCAGTGCTCTGAGCTCATCAAAACGCTGAACGTAGGCGAGAGAGAGAAAGGCCTGGAACAGCCTTTCTGCCACCACCCTCAAACCTACTCACATCACCTGTAGCAACAGCACAATTATTTTCTTTCTAACCTTCAGGAGACCTCGTCACAAGAGGCTTCAAAAAAATCTCCTTTGTCACTGAGACAGTTTAAGTGATTATGGTTTGAAGTATGGCTTTTCACACCACAGTTTTGCTTCCGATTTTTAAAGTTTAAAACTCAAAGGTTCCACAGTCCAGTTCAAGGTTTTGCAGTTTCCAAAACTAAACTTTAGTCTCTAAGAAAAAAAAAAAAGGACAGAACTTTATCTGCCTAGTCCTAAATTAAGTTGAGCTTTTCGCACTAATACACCATGTATTATTAAATATGCTCGTTAATTAGGTGCCTGTGAAGCTATAACTTAACATCATTTATAGTTTTGCACTCTACAACAAAATTAGACATTTTAAGCATTTATTCATAGGTAGGTAAGGAACTGGTTCTTTAAGCAAAAATTGCTATAAATTTATAAATACAAATAGTGCTTATGTTTTCTTCATTCATGCTTGAACAGATTACAAACTGAATACAATGAAGTTACGTTTAAGCACCCCACATAGACAAGAGGGATAAAAGAAAAGTTTGCTGGTATATACTATACTTAGTTCCAAGACACTATAAGTTACTTTTTCACTGTTCAGTGTTCCCTAACTCTGCATTAGTTTTAAGGCTATATATACAAATATGTATATGTCAAAGTTAGGGAAAGACAAATATAGCAAAATGCATTGTACTACATTTTCCTATCAAAAAGTAATTATACACCAAGTTCTGATTCTGTTTAACTGCAGTAAATGTTACAATCTACTTGTTTTACTGATTTTCCTTTTGAGGAATCTGCCTACTAAATGAGTAAACTACATATTAAATACAATATTCTCAACCAAAAAGACAATACAAGGTGCACAAAACAGCAGTTTTGCAAACACGACTGACTTGAAAACTTAATTTTCGTATGCTCAATGGGAGAAAGCTAAGCTTAAATCAAATTAGTTTATTATCTTATAAAATTTTAAATTAGAATTTTAAACAACAAACAGTTAAATATTGTCAACATGCTATACCTCAAATCACAAGTACTGTTTAACCACTAGTCTCTCATCCTAAGTAAGTGGGTCAATTAAAAACACACACCATAAAATGTTAAAGATTGTCAGGCTTTGACAAATGTATTTTTATCAAACAGTAGGCAAATTCAAACCAATGCACATCTTCAGTAGGGAGAGGAGAAAAAAAAAAAAAACCAACACCAAAAAGCCTGAAAAAACCCACATTTGTAAAAAATAGGGTAACAGATTAATCCCACATCATCCTCTAGCATATGGCTATGTCTTGGGCAAGAATCAAAATCCTTCCCATTTTAAAAATGGGCTACCAATTAAGAAAAATATTCTTCCACAAGTAAAATATCATTTACAATGGCACTGACATTTTAAAAGGCAGGAAAAGAAGGAATTACACATTTATGGGTAAATGTCTTGTTTGTTAAATCAAGCTTTATTGATAAAATGGAATTCAAGAGTATTTTTCTTGGAACAGCAGCAGACCCAGCCAATCAGGATTGTAAAAATGCTGCAGACTCCTACTTTATGTAGAAAGTTGTCTTCGTGCTCAGTGATTAGTATTTCAGGTAAGGGTTAATGAAAAAGAGGTGCAAAGAACCAAGGTGTTCTAATTGAAGATTGGTACATGTATGAACAGGGTACTGTTAACAGGGCATGATTTAACTCCCACTGAACTCAAAATCACAAATCCCTTCGACTCAAGGTGAGAGCAGGAGTGCATCCAAGAGAATGATGTATGTTTGTTGAAGAATGTGCACTACTCCTAAGTTATTTTTCCATGGCCAAGTGAAATTCACACACTGTAATTTCTGGTAGGTTGCCCATGAGTTCAGCTTTCATATAAACCAAAAAAGTTATCTTTAACAGTTTTGTGCACCTCTTGAGCACCTAGCTGGCTAGGCTGCTGCTCCTTGCAATCCAAAACCACAACATGATTTTTAAAAGGGATATATATTGTTGCATCACACAAGCCAAAACATTTCTTCTAACCTTTATAGTGATTTAAAGCGGTTCATAATTAAATATGAGCATTTGTACAAAGACAATTGCACTTTACAAAAACAAAATCATACAACATAAATTGCTGGAGTCTGATTTACAACATGAATTTATGGTTTGAAATCACGTTTACAGAAGTCTGTTTTACAAAAAAAGATCAGTTCCTGGGCTAGATGTTGTACTGCTGTAGTCACTCTCACCAACACATCATATTCCCTTCTTTAATTAAGGTTGAGGATGGATGTTAAGAAGGGTCACTGAGGTTGGGCTGCACTTTCATTTGCAGGATGAAAGGTGAACTCCACAGCTAGATGAGCAGTTTTACCACATATCATCAGTTGAGGCAGAATCCTTAAAGAAAAAAGAAGGAACCCTTTAAAGTCTGGAGTGCCCATTCTTGCGGCCGTTTCTGGATAATCCAGACTGAAAAGGGTAAAGACTTAAATCATTTCAGGAGTCTCTTTTCTCTCCCCTTTCAGAAACAGCTTTTAAAAAGTATCTAAACCCCACATATTCTTAATTAACAAAACATCAGAATCAAGAAATTTCAAAATATGACTGTTTCATCAATCCTGAAAATAAGATCCTGGGCATGTTACTCAAAAGCATTTCCAGAGCTTTTCCAGCTATTTCCTGAGTAGCTAGAAGTGATACAAAATGGATTCTCTCAGCTCACAGGTGTGAGAAAAGAGCAGGATGTGCTCATGTCATGTGTTATCACCATTATCATCTTTTGTCTTCTCAGCCCTCCCTCGTTGCATGGGATGATACAGACATCAACTGACACCCTGTTATAACTCAGAGCTATTTTAACACTTTTAATTTAAGGTTACAGAAGTGTAGTTTAGGCAACTCAAGGAAATTGTAATTTTGGATGGTAATAAAACTGCAAGGGGAAAAAAAGAAATGTATATAACAAAAATAAAAATATTGAAAGTAGAAACATGCTGTGCTCCCAATCATAATTCTATGGCCACACTACTTGGTATTTCAATCTATCCAATTCCTGAGTGCCCCAAAAATTCATTCCATTCTGTTCCACAGGCAACAGCAGATTTTGTATAATGACCACAAGCCTGACAAATGTTTAACCAATTCCTGCTTTAATTAGTATTTAATCTTACCAAGTGTTTTTTAAAGCATTTGCCTTTGTGTCAGGCCTGTTTCCTTTTCCCTTGCTCTGTATTCAGCTTTCTGCACCTCATCAGGTGGGCTCACAGGTTAACCAAGAGCAAGTGGAGCCACAGCTCTGCAGCTGAAGTAACAGAGCTGAATCAGCAGCACAGGAATCAGAGCAAACTGCTCCTGTGCACCACCTTTGGTGGTTCCAGCATCATCTGTTCCTTTTCCATAAGCAATTAAGGGGCAGGATGAGATTTTACAACAGCTCATCCTGGTGCTTCCACAGCTACACCTCCCCATCATTACTGAGGCTGCAGGAGGTAGAAATGTTACTTTGCTCCAAAAGCACTGCCTTAGTGACTCCTTGGAGAGGAGAGAGGCTAATTCAGTCTCTAGCAATGCCACACATGAGAATTTCTTAGCACTGTAGTTCTGCACCCTTCATTCAATCTTGCACACAGAATCCAATGCAAACCAGAGAGGAACAGTTGGCACGGAGGTGTAGTTAAAAAACACAAACTGAAATTGCCCTTTGCAAAAGTACCACCTCCAGCTTTCCCTTCAAGACCAGAAGTAGCAAAGGAGAGCAATTATATGAAAGAGCAAAATGGTTCTTTCAAGAATGAAGAATAAAAGCAGCATGAGTAAAAATGCAAGAGCTGCTTGCCAACTATTCCATATGCAAATTTCTGTATCCCAGTTGCCAACATGATCACAAAGTTTGTGTACTGTACATTTGTACAACAGCAACATACTACAGAATGTATTTTGAAGGTAAAGCACCCTCTTTCAGCCCCTATTTAGGGATTTTAATGCTAAAAATAGAATGAGAGCTGCCAAATAAAACGAGTGCAAGTTGTAAGGCCAACGCACAATCTTCATGTCTGGCTGCATTTCACTTCTGTCACATCCAAGCGTGGAAGAAATTTCTGCTGATAAAGGATCAGTTTAACTGTTCCATGAGATATTGCATTTCCAGGGACAGAATGTTGATTCTGGTGATTAAAGTGCCACTGGAATCATGCTCATGTTCACTGTTTGGTTTTTCTTCCCCCCATCCTGACAGTGGATTTATGTCTCCCTCAGCACTGACATGTAAGAACCCAAAGTGTTTGCTTGCTGTAAGATGCTCTGTGCTTAAGAATAAAAGTGTTTACACAGTCCATTTGGTAAACTAATATATTCTTAACACATCCATTTAACCTTTAGATATAGCATTTTTTCCCTTGATATTTAGGAAAAAAAGTCTCCTATAAAGAAGGGGGAAAAAGGCTCCCCATGACTCTTTCCACCACTTGGCAACACTTGGAAACCCAAGCAGGGCAGAAATAATGAAATTCCAGAGGACAAATGAATCAACCCTACTGGAGTTTTGAGATGATGATCAGCAGAAGGCAGCAGAAAACAATTACCAAACACAGTCCAAAAAGCACAACAGTGTTATTCCTTTCTTGGGAGAAAGGGTCTTTAACAGGAATTTGCAATATCTTTCTTTACAAAACAGCTCAAATCATTGGGGTGGGGAGAAAGAGAATGTAAGAGAGAAGATACTTACAGCATCATCATTCCTGTAGGGGTTCAGTCTGTTATACACAGCTTCAATCACACTCCGTCTAGAGCAAAGAAAACAAAAAACCCACAAGATTTTAATTTTTTGTATTTTTATTTTTTTTCCCCAAGTCAAATTCCCATTTTTAATTTAAATGCAAACTTTAGAAAATTTTAAATTCACAGAACCATTTTTACTCCAAGTTAGCACTTAAAAACCTTAAAAAAAAAGGATTTTTTAAAAAAATCATTTAAAATCTTTAGGCTCAAGACACCCAAGGCTGAATATCCCTTGGAGTTCAGCAGGAGAAGGGCACAAGCTGACAGTCAGCTCTTCACTTTGAAAAAGGGCAGCAGAAACCTCAGTGGACACTGAATGTCCTGGTCATTTGTGCCCAAAAACCACTGCAGTAGTGCCCCATGAATTATGGCATGTATTATGTATTACTTCCATAGGGGAACACTGTTGTGTTATTTTCTGGACACAAAAAAAAATTACATTTTGAGGTACATTTTTGTTTGTGTTATGCCCTAAAATGTACTTTCCATGTGCAAACATGAAAAAAATAGATCTAGAACAGTACTCTTCTACAATGGCATGGCCAATACTCTCCTGCAATTTTTTTTATCAAAAAAACCCACCACCAACAACAAAAACAAAAGCAACAACAACAAAAAAATCAAATTTGCAGGTTTGTGTATTGTATCTTCAGAATGAGACAAATTTTGTCTGGTTAAAAAAACATCAAAAAATTTATTCAAGCATTTTGACAGTTACCTCCTTTTAAAAAGGCCCCTGCTTAGCATATTTAAGATAGCTTGAAATTAACTTTCATCTTTGGGATTCTTGACTTTTCTAATAGTGATAGAAAATTGATAAGAGATAGATTGATAAAATATGAATACATTTGCAATCAACATGCAAATGAGCAACATGATTTTTATTTATTCCTTTTAACTCAGGGTGTAAAACTGAGAGTCAAAAAACCCCTTGAAAACAGGCAATAAAAAAACCCCAAAAAACAAAACAAGCAAATGTGAGGCTGAAGGAAGAAGCTGCCTATGCCTTTCTCAGTATATAATGAAAAAACTTTGACGGGAGAACAGGAAGGAAAGAGGGGAGTAAAAACCAGAAATGACATATTGGACTTTAAATGCAACTTTCTTTTGGATCCCCTTCTGCAGAACCAAGTAAGATGAAGTAGCAGATTGTGGTGCAAAGCAAAATACAAAGAGCAACCTTTAAACTGCTGATGAATGCATGCAGAGCAATCACAAAGGAGTGCAAGAGAAGAAAAAAAGCAGATGACAAGCTTTGTAATCATCCTGCAACACTGAAGAGTCAGGAACTGCCATGTATAAACATCACAGTGAATGGTTATAGGGCATGAAAGAAGAGGTTGGATTTAAAGCAATAAAATCAAGCAATTACACACAAGGTACATTACACATATGGATTGGAAAGTTTCCCACATCTTTCAAGAAATAGGTATCTTTGATTCTAAATACAGGCAGGTTTCTTGGAAAGCATTATTTTCCTTCCAAATTGCTTTAAGTTACATAAACATCCAATTAAATCAATATTTCTCTAAGTCCCTATTCAAGCTAGCATCACTGAGACACAAAATCCTGCTGAAGTCACATCACTTCAGCATTTCTTCACAGCCATGATGCCACTTCCAGCCAAAGGAGATGAAGAAAAATCAATTTGTATGCTGCATTTCATGAGTAACTGACTCACTCATACTTCAACAGTACAGCAGCCCATCCTAAATTGATGCTATTACACTTTAAATTGCCAACTCTTCTTCTCCTAGTCAAACAGCTCCTATAGGAACAATATTGTTTTCTAGAAGCCATCTTTACAGTTATCACTTTATAATTTAATCAATTTATCCCTTCATAATTTATTCAATTTTTAAATTTATAATTCATTCAATTACGTGCCTGAAGTCCTGATGTTTTTGTGTAACAATACAAAAATCATACTCTGAAAGGTCAAAAATATTCTATACCATATGTGCCCAATCCTTTTTAACACAGCACAGGCTCATGAAGAATCTTTTGAATCAAAAGGCTCTTGGTTTGGGGTGCAAACAAGCTGAGCACATTGCTTCCTTAAAGACTGAATATTTGAGAAACCACAGAGCATCACCACTGAACCCTTCAGGGACAAAGTCAGCTATATAAAACTAAAAATTGAACTTCCCACTTTTCTTTCTTGATAGATTTCTATCTCGCTTTCAGATTTGTCACAAGCAGAGAGGAACAAAAGCAAATTTTTAAGCAATTACAACATGGCTACAGACAAGAAAAGAAAGCTGCCAAGCAAAACATTTTATGCATATCACTTCTTGTTGAAGTGTAGAACACTTCAACCCAAGTCATTAAAGTCAGGGCATTATTTTCACATGTTCAAATGTAACATCCCCCCAGAAACCCCAGTTAAATTACAAAAAACAGACACTCAGGCCACCCTTAAAAACCCCTCATTCCTTCCCAAAAACTACAGTTTGACATTTAATTTTTGCAATGATTCACAGTCAACTCCACTCTTAGGCTTGTCCTTTTCATCCAGAACAACCGAGTAATAAAAACTGGAGAACAGATCATCACCTTTTGTCCTGTGCCCTTCCTCCCTCCCTGCCCCCCAACTTTTTTAAGAGTGGCCTTGCAGTCCCCAAGTGATTGAAATCCAACCCCACATTACACTGATGTGAACTCACTTGCTTGCCAACTCCCCTCCCGGTGGGAGGTTTGGGATGCTCTCAGTTGCTAACGTACGCATCACGTGGACTAAGTCTGGCACTCCTTCACCCTGCTTCTTTATGATCTCTGGGAATCAGAAGTACTTTTTTTGTAAGTGCAGTCCAAATTTAACTTCAAAAGATTGAAACACTCAGTTTTATAAAAAAAAGGCAGCTTAACATTAAAAATAAAATTAAAAAATTAAATTCAAGCGACAGACCGTACTCAACATGGTAATTGTTAACTTTGGTTCCATAAGTAAAAATCTGTAACAGATTTGACACAGATTTACTGCTGTTCACATGCTGACTTGGTTTTAGAAATACACAGCTACCCTGTAACAGTGGGGGAAAAAATCTTTAATGGATTTCCTGCTATACATTAGACAGAGGATGCAATATCTTCCCAAGGCATGGGGCAGATATTAACATCAGCTTTATCACTGCAACACAAGATAAAATATTATTGCCATCACAGAAAACAGAGTATTTCCAAGAAATAAAAGGTTAGACATGTCAGAAGTAATTCCCATGGCTGTATGTGTATAAACCAATACTTGTACCTCACTGCATTACAGCAACATGCAAATTTTAAGGACTATTACACATAAATTAAAAGCCAGGGACATCACATCTAATCAACAGTTTCACCCTCAACTCAGGAGATATTTAAATTCAGGGCAGAAACTTAAAGCTGATCCACTCCAGCTTCTGGGTGAAGAGAATCTGTATTGTAGCCACAGCCACATTTGTCAAGACATAATTCTTCAATTTTACTCTTAAGCCTGGTTGGTTTAGGGTTTTTTAGGTTTTTTTAGGTTTTTTTTTTTGTGTTTGCTTTTTTCACTTTTCTTCTCAAGTCAAAAGCACACAGTTTTATTTGAATTCAAGACATTCAAGATCATACCAGAAGAAGTATGAAGAGTCATTCCTTAAACAGGCATTTTATGAAATTTAAAGAACATTTTTTAGAATGCATCTCATTCATTTCTCTGTAAACATGAGCTCTCAGAAGTTGCAAAACATGTGAATTATTAAGACCTGGTGCTTTTCATCTTCAAGTGAATACTGCAACATGCATACAGTAATGTGTACATATGTGCACATCTATACATGCATGTATGTACATGCACACTGTTCTCCAGCTAATAAAGCATTTACACAGTTTCAAAGTAGTTGGAATTCATCAGTACCACTTTGGAAAAAATACTCAAGCATTCAGATTTTGCCCTAAATTCCAGAAGAACACACCAAGTTTCCATTTTATAATTTGTGAGAGAAGGCACATTGAAAGCTTTTAAAACCAACATGTATCCAGTCCTTTTTAGTCAAAACAAAACAAAACCTAAAAAACAATTGTGAATTACTTGTTGTGTATGCAATGGTTTTTCAGGGCTGTGTGTGTTTACAAAAACCATCAGCTCTGTTTTGCAGCCAGGCTGTGTAAATTATTTGCAAGGTATAGTGGAAACACTGCCTAGTCCTCAACCAGCATCAAACTCTGCAGCACAAAGCTTTAAGCTGTTTCCTTCAAAACTTAAATTTTAAATACATGACACTGCACACCAGAGACACCTCAAAAACTTGCCATTTCCTCAAAATCTACAGCCAAAGTTCATTTTTCCATCTTACATTTAGCAAAGAAATAATCTATGAAATCTTAAATCTGAATAAGAAGCCAAGATCTCAGATTTGGTTTGCCAAGTTCCTTTATTGTGCAATTTTGAACATCTAGAATATGCTACATTGTGCTAGTTCTAAAGTTCTGCTGTACAAAAATAAGGAATTTATAGTTGACCTATACTACACAGTTTCACAACCTGTAACTGCAGTACATTTAACATACAGTCTCCACTAAATGAATACATTTATATTTTGATAAAACTATAGATACAGACTGAATGAACACTGAAGACACAACAAATGGAGTCGGTCTGCTAGCTGTGTTTAATTTATTGGAATTATCTTGTTTCAATACACCTTTAACCCTCCCCCCAGTCTTTAATTTACTTTTAAACCTTCTACACATTTCCATGGCATCAAGTACTGGAAAAATGTACTTACAACCCTAAAATAAAGGATTCAAAAATGGGAATTCCATACAAAGTTTAAGAAAAAGCCAGAACTTTGTTTTATGTGAAAATTAGGGAAGGAACATATAACAGCTAACTTCAAATTATTTATCTCTACATAGGTATAAATATTGCAGGGAATATCTATTACGGAATGGTTTTATGTAAAAAAAAATGAGAACAGAAAAAAAAGCTTAGACAAGTTTCTTTTTAGAGTCAACACATTGATAACACATATTAGTGCAAATAATAGCAACACATTTTGGAATGATTGATTACTTCTACCATGAAGTTCACATGATACTTTAGGAGTAACATTGATTTATTGCAAGTAATGGCACAAGGATGCTTCTCCACACTTGCTGCTTCTTCCATTATTTGTTGCAGCTACAAATCTGGACCACAAACACATCAGGAGAGTCTTAAATGACATGGTAAGTAGAAAAGTTTCTACATTTTTTAAAATCTGAATCATCTCTCCTTATTCAAGAGGACCATCATTATTAAATCCTATTCAGTCTTAAAATTTGCACTAGTTCTTAACAGTATAAAGGTAAATTCTGGGCTAAGGGGATAAAAATACAACCAGAAAAAAAATGCACATTCAAAAGGATCGACTCTCATTACCTGTTGGACTTCACTGAGTACTGAAGTGCATAAAAATATGTAATATGCATTTTAACCAAGCTTCCATCTTAATGAATTTTAAATTTAAATTGATATTACAGATTAGTAAGATCATTCTAAAAGTATTCTTTATATTTTTTAGTTCCTTCAGCCAAAAATCAGGCTTTTAAAGTTAAGCACTGCCACTCTTATAGTATCCTAAGATAAGAGCAAGATTATTCACTGTAGTGTATAAAGTTTCAGATGCTGCAGCAGTCCTACCTTACTAGTCAATAAGGCATTATCCACTTACTTCAGAAACAATGCAATGGCACATTAATTAATTAATTATATATTAAATAACAAAGTTATCAACTTCTGTTCTTGAAATTCTGCCTTGGTTCAGGCCTTTCAACTTTCCTCATACATAAGTCCTAAAAGGCCAAATTCTGCAAACAGCTGATACAAATCACTGCTGGGCTGAGTAGTGTTTACTAAATATTCATTCATTTAAATAATCTTTTTGTGCAACAACAGACAAAAGATTGAGGATAACTCTAAAATTTAAGCAAAGACCCTTGAGAGGAAGTACAATATATTTCCTCAAGTTCTTCAGACATCATCTCATTAAATTAGTATTAAAGTGCTTTATAACTACATACAGAATCCTTCTGCCTCTATGCAATTATCACACTTTGATCATTCCTGCAAATTTCCTATTTGTATAAATGCAAAGTACCAGCAGCCAAATTCCTGGTATGTACCATAACCACATGCAGGTCCAGTGTTTAGGCTGCTCCTTTACCAAATGAAGCAGCTGTACAAACATGCCAGCTTTCCTCACTGTAACATTGCTGGGGTAGGATGAGGCCAGCTGAAGATGCAGCCTTGGCTTCACCATATTTTCATATTCTAGGTCATGGGTTTGTCTGAGCTCAGCCACAATATCTAAGATAAGAAGGCAGCACTTGCCCAGATCAGGAGTGAGCAGGCTGTGAATCAATGTGTGAATGTACAGCACACTTGTTCCTCAGCAGATCTGTGGGTGGGCACACACAGAGAGCTCCTCCTGGTGCAAACCTGCTCCCTGCTCTGCTGGCGGGACTGCACGGGGACATTCACAGAGCACTGACTGTGCACCAACCCCTCCTCTCCTCTCCTCTCAGGCAAGTGTGGGCACTAAAACACAAATGTCTGCCTGGGCACTTGTTCAGGGGCAGAACAGATGCAGTTTGCTGAGAGCTGGCAAGTGAGACCTTGGAAAAACGTGGTACTTTCTGCAGGAGCACCTACACAGGTTGTAAGTGCTGTAAAAATTGCACATGGATTTGTCTGAGCCCAAAATTCCCATGCAGGCAAGTTCTCTGTGAAATTTCTGGAGCTGCACTGTGTTACCATCATGCAAGTTAAGGAGGAAAAAAGTGCATAATGTACTCCTCTAACTTACTGACCACTGTGGAGAGCTCTGCCTCTCGTGCCCTGTGTGCTATTAAGGATTCTTGGAAGGATACACACACATAACTAGACTTGTAACATACAGAGGAGTCCACTTCAAAAATAGACTGAACCTATGCAAATAATGCATACAGCATGTCTTAGATTTCAGAAACAAACTCCAAGATGTAGTTGGTTTTAAATATCAAAAGGCACTATAAATGCAGTTTTAATCAGAAATTATTTGAATCTACTTGATTTCAAATACCATTTTTATGTGATCCAAAAAGCCCCAGACTCACAGTTTTGATTTAAAGTTTAAGAAAAATTTTTAAGTTATTATCAAGATGAGTTCCCAGCTTTTGTTTGTCACAAATGCTTAAAGATTAGCTTTGACAAATTTCTGATGTACTTTCAAATAAGTAAATATGTAAGCAGGTGCTTAAAGATAATAGTAATTGAGTAGTAAACCTACTATTATTGGATAATAAAATATTACAGCTAACTGATTTGTACTTAACTATAAATGGCACTCAAATTATCATCTTCACAGACACTTTGTAAGACATTCTGATTATTTTCTTTAACTCCATGTGACAGGAACCAGGATTCACTGGTTTGAAGTTAGTGCTGTCAACAGACTCAGGAAGAACACTGGGCATAAATGAATTCTCTGCCATCCTGAATCATTTTCAGGGCTACAGGCTGTTGCACTTTCATAGCAGAACTTTTTGAGGATATACAGAGTGCCTTTTTCAGAGGTACACAGGATGGCCAATGGCACTTGAAGGTCTATTAAAAAGCCTGTATGTGTTAAGGGTTTAATTGTTGGAAGGGGAAGGGGGCCAGGGGTCTGTTTAGAAACAAAGTTACTTATTTTTTTTTAAATGATCCACCTTCTACTCTGCTTTCCAGGTACTTGTCCAACTCTGCCTCTCTTTTCACCGCCTCTGGTGATACCTTTGGTGCATTCGGAAAACAGATCAATATCACACTCATGTTGTCTCGACTTCCCTGGTGGAAAAGAAAAAATGATTTGAGAAATGTATACACACCAGGCTAAACACACATCAAAGCATTTTAAATACAGAAATTCACAAATCATATGGTATCAGAATCCAACTTTCACTGTTATGGATTAATGTTATCATTAGAATTCATCTCCCTGTACCCCTTAGAGAATTCCAGGCCCATTCATTTGGTACAACTCTTCAGTCATTGTTTTTTCCACTTTTATGGTTTGAAGACTACAGGGAGGCAGTTACAGACACCCCACTGTCATTTAAAAACTGACATTAGTAATGAGTGATGTATAATTACAAAGTTGTGTTCCATCTTGTTTTAAGTGCCATCCAATCATTTTGGGAAAACAGCTGAATGGGTGAACAAAACCATGACTAAAATCACAGCTATTAGGTTTTTCCTTCATCTTTTCATTTAAAACATGAAAAGTTGCAAGTGACAGAATTTGTTAGAAAACCAGCTGTAAGGTACTCAGATCTTTGCAAAAAAATATTTACATTTAAAACTTCAAAAAAAGGACCCCAAATACTTGAATATTTAAAAACACAAACACATTCTGCTTATGCAAAGTAAGTGTTTGGTTTACTTACAATACCCTTGTGCTTTGACCTACAAATATGCATCCACAGGCTTAACTTTTAACACTAATTAACTCCAGTGATGTCAGCAAGATCAAGAACAAGCCAATGTGCAAAAACTACAGTATATGGGTATGGGGAGGTGCTGACAGTTGGCTCCTGCAAAGCTTACAGCATCCACAAGCCACTGTTCCCTTCCTGGTATTTGCTTTTAGGATTGCCAAAGAAAAATATTAACCAAAAATATAACCATTATCCATCTGCCAAGGTGTTGGAAAGCAATTTTAATTTTTCATATGGGAAACAATGATCCTGTTAGCCATGTGGGAAGAGCAGGGATGCTGTCTTGCTTCTCTAGAAAAAAGTTGGCTTTTTTTCTCTATGATTGTCAGTTTGCCTTTGCAAAATAAGTATCAAGCTATGAAACTCAGTAATTGCATCACACTGCAACTTATTAAGGCAAAGTAGAAGTTAATGCACACAGAGTTACACAGTTGTGTTAAACCAAATAGTCTCCATCTACTAGAGCTGGTTTCAGAGCTGTATCACGCAACAGGGAGTAGGAAATACAGTAATTAAACCAAAAGAAAAACTAACTTAGGAAGCCAAGCCTTCAAAATACGAAGTCAAGGTTCACTGATTCTGCATTTATCCTGATGTAAATATGACAGTAATGTTAATACTATGTGCCCAAGAAAGCAGGGGAGGATTAGGAAGGGGAAATACACTCTCTAGCCTGATTAAGCCTTAAGAGTTGAGGTTTTGTAAAGTACATTATGAAACAAAAAAGGGCAGTTATTGTCTTTAGCTTGCCCATAAATTCCCATTAGCTTCTAGTTTTCCAGTGATCACAGCGTATCTGTACATGATTATAACCTCTTAATTAACCAAAACCACCCAGAAAAACATTGTTTCTGTTGTGTGTTCATTCCCCCTCTATCACCACTTTTGTAGGATACATGGTCATCACTGTCAAAGTCATGTTACCATAAACCATTGAATATTTATAGACTGGAAGCAAAGTTATTATTAGCTTGCTCATAAACTTCTAATAGGGAAAGCACAGTAAACTCCTTCTCTCAAGTCTGGCTACCTTGTACAAGCAGGTGTCAACTATCTCATTGCAAACTTTCTCAAGGTCATCAGTGACTTCAAGTCTGGATCTTACAAAGTCACACAGCTCTTCATTTCCCATAACATCCCAGATCCCGTCGCACGCCAGGATGATGAACTGATCATCTTCTTCTGATCTCTCAATTTCATACACTTCAGGCTCGGGTGAGACCAGCTGTTCTGTTGGACCTTTCCCATGGACACATTTGTAATCAAAGTCCCCAAGTGCCCTTGAAACAGCAAGGGAGCCGTTCACACGCTGAATCATGACGGAGCCGCCTGCGTTCTGGATACGCTCCTTCTCCAGAGGGTTGCTTGGTTTGTGATCCTGTGTGAAGAAGTGAACCTTCCTGTTTCGACAGAGCAACCCTCTCGAGTCTCCACAGTTGATGAAGTACGTGTGTTGGGGAGAAATCATGACACCCACAGCTGTTGACCCACTTCTGTCTGCGCCATGCTTCTTCTCAGAGATGACTCTCATGTGTTCGTCAATTTGCAGAAAACCTGTTCTGATGCCGCTCTTTACACTTTCCACAGATGGTGGCCCATCTGGCCCTTTAAAATCCTGGTTGCTCGTGATGTGATCTAATAAATGCTCACAGCAGTACTTGGCAACCTGGGATCCAGCGTGCCCATCATAGACAGCAAAGAAGGACCATCCATCGAGTCCGTTTGGCAAACCGATCACAGCCGTGTGCGCGTCCTCCATCTCCACGCGCCAGCCCTGCATGCTGCTCAGGCCGTAGCGCAGCCCGTTCCCCTGCCCCTGCGCGTTATGCTTCTCCATCTTTGGCTTGTCTAAAAATGCTCCCATGGTGACCTTCCTTCAGTTCTACAAAGAGGAAAAAAAAAAAAAAAGGATTATTAAGATGTTTCTTAAAAATCCTGCTGGAAGATATTAAATAATGGTACAAGTAAAATGCCTGAAGTACACAGCTGTAAAGCTGAATTTTCTGTGTCTCCAGTCCAATTTGCATTGCTTTCATCTAATTTAAACAAGGACACTACTACTAGCTGAATGCACTTTTCATATTTTTGTATTTTCAGCTGTTTTACTTGAAAAATTCATGTTCACTGTCATTCATGGTTCTGACAAAAGCCTCTAATAGAACTGTGTATGAAACCAGTTTCAAAGAGGACTTGTTAACTGGCACACATCTGAATGGCTGCTCCCTGCAACTACTGAGCCATGAAAGAGTTCAATGTTTCTAGGACACTGGCATTCCCTAGATCCCTACCTGCTGGCCACAAATTCCTGCTAACACTGCTTTTCTGGTAGTGATGGGAAAATGAAAGCAAAATTATTAGTTTGTTTTTTTTTTTTTAAGATGGGGATTTCAGGGGTTTTTGGGTTCGGTTGTTATTCGGCTTTTTTAAAACAGATCAATGACAAGAATGACCAAGAGGATGCCAGAGTCTGCATAAAAGAAAAAGCAGCACTGGATAAACTAGCAGCAGGACTGGGAAGGAACAGAGCAGCTGTCCCTTTAGGCAGCAGCAAGCCATTAGTTTGGCTCAGCCATCTTGTGAAAGCTCATCCTTAGATTTTCGGTTAAATTACGCAGCAGCTTCTCAGATGTCTGTGCTGCAGATTTACTTAAAACCCTCATGTATTCATGCTTCACTGAAAGACAACTGGCCCTGACAAATCTGAGGAAATCTGGGTGGAAATAAAATCACATCTATTGTATATTCTTGTGTGAATCAAGATTCAAGCCAGACCCATACACTGCACACCCTTTCCTCACTGGGATGTGATGCAGCAAATATTCATGCTTAAGAGAATAAGTGATATTTGCAGGCAGTGTAAACTGACTGGTTTATCTTCATGGTTTTCACACCCTAACCATCCAACCCACCCTTCTAATCCACATTGCTTTATTTGTGCATTCATTATTAAAAAATCATACAAAATAGGTCACACATTTTACATACTTGCAAATTATGCCTTGGGAAGAATCAAAGAGCCTGCAAATCACTGTTATACAATACAAAGTAATGGAACAAAACTATGAGCTTTTCTGTTTGAAGACTGTGGACAAAAATTAGCTGTGAAAAGAACCTCAAAACCAGATTTTTACCTGAGGCCCCAACTAACAGCTGCACTAGCAGAAAAATCAGTACACCAGAGGTTTCAGAAATGTTTAGCTTGACCATGGAATATATTTGACCATTTTTTTAAGTGACAACATCACATTTTTATAGCATGCTTTCCCTGCAATACAGCACCAGCCATTAATGACACCATATATCCAACAAAGCTCTTCACACTGTCTCTTCCAGCCACTGTCAACCTTCCTGAAACATCTGTGTTCAAATAAACAGTCCAGAAATGTTTATATTTGATCTCACCACAACAGTGATTCAAATGTGAGGCACGGGGACTGGTTCTGCACTCTTTGCCTCACATGCTTTGCTAACAAAAACAAAACACACACTTCAGCTGCAGGGGGATGGCAGCAGCGATTCAGCTCTGCCTCCCCTCACCCCAAAGCCTGCTCTGGAGTTCTGCCTCTCCTCAAGTGAACACAAAATATTGATGGCCAAGCAAGCTGTAACTAACCAACAAAACAGAGGGTGCACCGTGTGTGCTGTCCCAAGCACATGCAGGAGGTTCACATTACTGCAGTTGCTAGGAAAAAAATACGACTTAAGACTTTTTTATCTTCACATGCAACTCTAGTGAAGTCAGAGTGATCAAAATAATTACAGAATGCTGCTATAAATCCTGTGGGTAATATTTTGCTGAATAACACTTTTTATTCATTTTAGGATAGGAGCAGAGTTTAACACTGAATGCTGTCTTTGTTGAGGAGATCATTAAACAGAATGCAGATATTCAACTTTTTCACCTTAATTTAGAGCTCAAAAAGCAGAAACTGCCCTGGCCAATATAATTCTGTGAAGTATTTGACATTGTTTTATTTAAAATAAAACAGGAAAACATTAAGAGCAGGGTACAGTATACTGACCACAAACACTGCCAAAATCTGGACTAAAAAGGGCCATTTTTCTTCTAATCTCTCACCTTAGTATGCACACAACATTCAGAGCTGTGCTTTGTAAACTGCTTGTCCTGCTCAGTAGTTAGAATGTAAATTAGAAATACTTACAGACAGTCTGTGTGAAGTTCTAACAACTACAGAACTTCTAAATTAACAAATCGCTGTCCATTTAAATACCAAATTGCCTTATCCCTTCCCAGAATGAACCCTAAGAGCTGGTGGTCTTTGAAGCTAAACTTTATAGGTGAGATGTTGATCCAGGATTCTTCAGGGGTGAGAATTGCCCACCATGGATGAGAATACAGCTGGGCAAAAGGAAAAACCACATTTTGGCCATGGAACAACTCCTTCAGAAGCTGCCCAGAGCAGGAAGTGATCCCCCTCTGAAAACTGCAATAACAGACTGCACTTGTCTTCCCTGCCATATTCCAGCCTATCAGGCTTTTACCAGAATAGCAATCTAAACCTGCAGGAGAGTAGGCCAGGTTTTCAAAATCCTCACTGTATCTGCAGAAAAAGCATTGCTTACTTGTGGACAGGATGAATGTGCCAGATCTTTAGGTTTTTTCCCAGAATTCCAATTCTCATTCAGAAAAAATTCAGTTAAAACTGAACCATCTGTGAATTGTGATGAATTGGAGACTACCTGCTACTTCTCCCCCCATATCCTCAATGTGCAGTGAAAACCTGAAGAATTTCAAGAGTCTTAGCTATGAACAAAAAGAATTTTAGTTTTACAAGAAGGGAAGGACACACACAGAGAAATGCTGACATAAGAAAGCCATGCCTCCTACCTACTAAAATACCTTTTAGAGCTGGTTTTGAGTTCATATCTATGGAAGTATCTTTCACACACCGGTGTCCACCTAAATTATGGGCACATTTGTCATTCTTTGATGAGGTGCTTTGTGCACTCCAGTGCCTGAGCTGGAATGACACCTTTGGTTAAGCACATAACTCTGTATGCAAATCTGATTAACCTATAGCAGTGCAAGTGCCCAAGTTCCAGCATGACTTTGTTATGTAAAGACACAGAACAGACTGCATGCAATACATAAAAGAGATCCTGAACATGGCTTAACTCAGCCTCTCTTCATGTCTTTAGTCATCTTTCTTAAGAGGAGCCCTCATTTTATGATCTTTATCCCCCAAAGAATTTTACTCTCTTAATCCAGTCACACATTTCTATAATCATGCCAGAAAACTGCAGCCTCATGGCAGGAAACAGAACCAGTCCTCTACCCTGGAAGCCTCAACTTTTGGAAGGCATGAATGATGCTCATATGTACTGAAGGGACAGACATTCTTCCTATTAAAGGCAAAGTAAGAGAAAAGGCACTTTAATTGTGAAGTTTAGTGGCAAAATACACAACCTTTTTTTTTCCTTAAAGCAGGAGCATTCTGAACAGTGTTTTAAGGGTGGTGCCTTGTAAAAGGGTCAGAGGTGCAACATTTTCTTCATAAATGCTGGCTCTCACACATCTCATGCTACAACTGCACAGCCATCAGCCAACAAGCCTCAGTTTTAATCTAAAATGATTCTTGGATCACCCTTTCCAAATCAGTGACTTCCATTAGTTTTAGGTCCTAAATAAGAACTTTCTGCAGTCAAAATTTCTGGATTTTGGCTCTGAAGAAGAGAGAGGCATGTGAACAAAAACTAGATGTGAAAATGGACCCCTGTGAACAGAAATGAATGTGCAGGGAGTGCATCTCTGCATCTCCAAGTGCATTTTAAACCCAATTTCTGAAGCACTGATTTTGTGGAGGTCAAACTGAAGGGCAGCCTCTCCAGCAAGTGCACAGAAAACTCAAGTTGAAGTTTGCAGACAGAAATTAAGAATACTGTACACAACCTAGAAAAATCAACACAAATAACAAGGTCTTGGATAAAACACAAGAGTGCAAAAATTCAGAGGACTGCAGCATTAGAAAGAGAACTGAAATAATGAATGGAGCATGCCAAAGAGTCAGTACTAAACTCCTTGAAAGTAGATGTAGCTGAAGAACAGAGTGGCAAAGAAAAAGGAGGGTAATTAGTATCCCAGGCCATGGAGAACCAGGGACAACCACAGATACACCACTGGAATGCATGAAATCTCTTTGCCCCTTCATTTGTTCCTCAAATTGTGCTATCCAGGCAGCACAACTGCAATGCTTTCTGCTACACAGGAAAATAAATTTTACTGGTTTGCTATTTGCTTGCTCATTTGCCTGAAGGTTCAAATGAACATAAGCCCTAAATTGTTCACAAAGGACAGCTAATGCAATTCCACATACCCCTACAGAAATACAAATTTATTTCTCCAAGGAATTTGGACAAAGATTTGATCATTTTGTCCCAGCAAACTAACCACCCCCATCTGAAACTTTCACTTGAACAATATGTAAATTAATAATCCTTTTTAAACAATGTCCAAGCTGTATTCCTTCCACTAGGATAAGCTGCTTACATGAACCACACTGAAGTCACAGGCACTTGTTGTAACTAAGCTGAGAAATACCCCCACACTCCAATTTCCTGGAATAATTCTCAGTGACATTACACCCTGTGTGCTGTAATGAGGAGCACAAAGAAAGATTACAACCTTTGCTTGAACTACAGGACACAGAGCAAGTCACCAAATTACACAGACTAGAAAAAGGGCATTTGTTCACTTCAACTGCAGCCTGGTCTGCTGCACTGTTCCCTCTGCCTGGATGCAGTAGCAGACAGCATGTAATGGTGCAAACATGGAAACATTTTCACAAGTTACAGCCTCCTGAATGAAAAACTGACAGTACACACTGGATGCCCCAAATCAATTAATTTGAACAAACAACATGTCAGAGAACATCCCAGGG